TAATTCTCTTGCTTTTTCTTAATTTTAATGGTGAGAATTTATTAATGCCTCTTATTTGGGTTTCCTAAGTGACCTGGGATCATTTTTAGACCAGTTCAGTCTTCATGGATCATATAAATTTGAGCCAACAAATGCAAATTAACTCTTAACTTTGTTCTCTCCAGTTATTCCATATAGTCAAAAAAATTAGTTTTTAAGCTGGTTTACATGCCAAAATAACTACACTAGCTCTGGGTACATTGTAGGTACCAAGTATATAAATGTTGGTTGATTAAAGAAGACATGTCATGGAGAATGGTCACAGAATAGAACAGAAAAATATTTGTGGAAGTCCTAGGTTCTAGTTTTGGGATTCTCCTCTGTACTTGGACAAGTGTCATACACTCTGGACCTCAGTGTTCTGATGCAAAAGATGAAGGGCTTTAGACCAGATCAACAACTCATATTTTTAAAAAATCTTCCCAATGATAGACTTTTAAGGTGAATAAAGTACAGGTTCACAATCAAAGAACTTCTACTTGATAAAGAATATCTAGAAAGACACGCAATAAACATAGTTAATGGTGAGAAACTCAAAACTTTCTATTAATATCAGGAATGAGGCGAGGATGTCTCCTCTCACCACTACACTTCAACACTACACCATTACACCATCACACTACACAACAAACTGTAAGTTTTACTAGTGCAGTAGGACAAAGAAAGGAAATAAAAGACTACATGGATATGGAAGGAAGACATAAAACTTTTTGTTTGCAGATGACATGATCATCTATCCAGAAATCTGAAATAATCAATGAAGAAAACCTCCTTAAACTAACAATCAATTATAGCAAGGTTACAGGCTATGAGGCTAATATACAAAAATCAATCACTTCCCTGTATACCAGTAATGAACCAGTGGAGTTAGAAATTAAAGACACAATAGCATCCAAAAAATGAAATGCTTAGGTATTAATTTAACAAAATATGTACAAGAACAATATGAAGAAAATTACAAAATTGGGACTAAAATTGAAGAAGAACTAAATAAATGGAGAGATAATCAATGTTCATGGATAGGAATACTCAGTATTGTAAAGATGTCAGTTCTTCCCAAATTAACCTGCAGATTCAATGCAATCACACTCAAAGCACTCAAACAACATCAAACAGGTCAGACATATTTGAGATGTTTGCAATTCAGTATTTATAGAATAATGTCTCCCAATATCTAAGAAAGCATTCACAATGAGTACATTATTTACGTGGTTAACCTTCAGCTTGTGTCTGTGTAGGACTTTTTGCTCTCAATATCATACTCTCTCCT